AGGTCCTCACAACCCATCAGCCTGAAGGTCAATCCCTCCCCTTGACATGCCAACAGTAATCAAGGTTCAACTACAACAGGAGGGCTCACACAACAAACACACCTGGAGCACCCAGCTCAGGTGACCAGGGAGACTGTGCCACTGGGCCCCACAAGACACCTACTACATGAGGCCACTCTACCAAGACTGAGAGACGTAAGAGCTCTACCTAATACATAGAAACAAATGCAGAGAGGCAGGCAAAATGAGGAGACATGAGAAATACATCCCAAATGAAAGAACAGAAAACTCCAGAAAAAAGAAAAAACAACACCTAAACTAAATGGAGACAAGCAATCTAGTGGATGAATAAGGAAACATAAATACGGAGATGGAAAACATTAAAAAGAATCAGTCAGAAACGAAGAACATAATAACTGAAATGAAGGATATATTAGAGGGAATCGAAAGTACATTAGATAAAGTAGATGATCAAATCAGCAATCTGGAAGATATGGTAGCAGAAAACATCCAATCAGAACAGCAAAAAAGCAGAGAGAATCCAAAAAATGAAGACGGTTTAAGGGGCCTCTGCAACAACTTCAAGCATACCAACATTCACATCTCTAGAAAGAGAATAGAGAAAGCAAGGAGTCTATTACCACTAAGTTAGTCTTTTAAGGAATGTTAATGGGACTTCTTTAAGAAAAAGAAAGGTTAAAAATATGAATAAAATGTCAATAACTACCTATCAACAATCACTTTGAATGCGAATGGAAAAACACTCCCATCAAAAGATAGAAGGTGGCTAAACAGGTAAGAAAACAAGTCCCTTACATATGCTGCCTACAAGAGGCTCACTTCAGATCCAAAGATACACACAGACTGAAAGTAAAGGGATAGAAAAAGATATTTCATGAAAATGGAAATAAAATAGAAAAGGCTGGGGTAGTAATACTTATACGAGACAAAATAGTCTTTAAAACAAAGGCTATTATAGGAGACAAAGAAGGACCCAGCAATTCCACTTCTGGGTATTTATCTGAAGAAACACAAAACACTAAATTCTAAAAGACATATGGCCCGGCCAGTATGGCTCAGCCTGGTCGACCTAGGATCCAGGAGATCGCAGTTTGATTCCTGGTCAGGGAACATGCCCGGGTTGCAGGCTCAGTCCCCAGTAGGGGATGTGCACAAGGCAGCCAATTAATGACTCTTTCATCATTGCTGTTTCTCTCTCTCTCTTCCTCTCCCTCCCTCTCTTTGAAATCAATAAAGATATATTAAAAAAAGAGAAAAAGAGAAAAGACATATGCATCCATATGTTCATTGCAGCATTATTTACAATAGGCAAGATATGGAAGCAATCTAAGTGTCCATCGATAGATGAATGGATAAAGAAGTGGTACATATATACAATAAAGTATTACTCAGCCATAAAAAGAATGAAATCTTACCATTTGTAACAACATGGATGAACCTAGAGGGTATTGCACTAAGTGATATAAGTCAGAGAAAGACAAATATCATATGATTTCACTTATATGTGGAATCTAAAAAAATAAAAGAATAAAACAAAAACAAACTCATAGATACAGAGAACATTTTGATGGTTGCCATATGAGACATGGGTGAGGGTGGGTGGGTGAAAAAGGTGAAGGGATTAAGAAGTACAAATTGGTAGTCACAAAATAGTCTTAGGGATATAAAATATAGTATAGGGAATATGATGTCAAATGGGTACTAGCATTTATCAGGGTGATCTCTTCGTAAGTTGTATAAATGTCTAAGTACTATGTTGTATACTTGAAACTAATATAATATTGTATGTGAACTGTAATTAAAAAATAAAATACTCAAAAAAATTAAACACACTTCTAACAAACTTCTGGGTTAAGATAAATATTTCCAAAGCTTCAAAAGTATGAAGCTTGTTCCAATTACCTTAAAACATGAGAACTAAATTCTCATGTAATCACTAGTAAAACTGAATTATTATATTTAAGAAACATTGCTATTCCCTAAGCTATAGATGTGTATTCTCCACTGCACATGTATGCTGAAAAACAAGTTCACTAAAATGCATCACTAAATGAATGAAAGCTTACTGTTGGAGATAGTTTTCTATAACAATCACTTATCTCACTGGAATATCTTTTGCTCTTTCAAACTGGAGAGGGAGGGATGGAGGCAAAAAAATTCAACATTCCTTTGTATAATAACAGCTTATCAAGAACGTTGGTTCGTGCTGGTGGTGTGCAGAGGACACAAAGGTAAATAAGCAAATACATACAGCACTTTACCAGCTTCCTGGGGCTGACAGTATCCTAAAGGAGACAGCCATTAGTCATAGAAACATACCTTAAATGGCAGTAGGGACATATCTGACCCTCAAGGGTTGGGCAGATCAGGAATGCTTTCCAGAAAAAGTGATGCTTTAAAGCTGAGACATAACAAGTAAAAAGAAGGTGCCTGGGGCAAGAGGCTAGAGAACAGCACTCCACAAATGAAAGAAGCACATATATGCAAAGTTATAAAGTGTTAGGTGGGCAATTAGAGTAAAAACTATAATTTAATTTTCAGATGGTCAATATAAAAACAGGGAACAGTAGAAAATTTTGCAAAATCTTTATGCTTTCTAATCTATTCCTTCTGAAGCAAGAATTTGGTTTGCCTTTGTACTGTCATTGAATTTTTCTTTGATTACACAAAAAATGTCCAGATACTAAGACTCTTTTTAAAATACTACTGTTATACAAAACTGAATGGTTAGCATTGTCCATACTATGTTTTTAAACTACCAAAACCAACTTTAACCCTGAAGGCTCTTTAGAAAGATATCTCTACTCTTTTTTATTTTTTATTTTTCCCCCAGATAAAGAGGCTTTTACTCAGGAGAGACCACAAAGTATGCTTTCTAAACTGTTCTCTCCAGTGTTTATTATGGAACAGTCCTGAGCAACTCACTCATTTCCTAGCAGTAACATTCCACCCACACTTAATTCTACCAGACAAGCAGTATAACACAAATGTGTAACTTTAGACATTGGAGCTGTAAAGAAAATTAAAAAAAAAAAAAAAAAAGCATCAGGGACTCCTAGAATCTTGTCATGATGATTAGTCCTAAAAGTAACTATGTAAGCACAAAAGGATCCAAATTAGTTGCCAAAGGTTAACTTTGAAGTGGAAATTACAACTAAATTATATAGCTATGGATTAACTTTCATTAACTATTTTCTTTATGTCCTTTTTAATAAATATGGGCCAAAAAATAATTTTTCCCAAAACTTAATGCATAAAACTTAATTTACTAAGTTCATCATATGACTGTGTCGAAATATAAACTTTTGAAGCTTCTAAAGTCAAGACTTTACATACTCATATTAGCCTTTCCCTGTATATTTGTTAAATGAGACTAGACTGGTCTCAGAGTGACAAAACTGAATTCAGCATACTGGGGATCGATTAGAATCAAAGAACAGATAATCCCTTTAAAATACGCAGTTACTGATTAACTTTCTTGGGCAGTGAAGAACTGACCAATTCAACTTTTTCTCCTCAAGATAATTCCTTTATATTCTGAGTATACCAGAAAGGAATTTTAAAAATCGTAATAGTCTGAAGATAAGTGCATCTTCAAGAACACATGTTAGAACAATACACATGAAAATCTTATCTAAAGTCATTCTCTGGTAAATTCAAAGGGAAACCCAACACTACCTAAAATATACAGATACTTATTGACTTGTTGTCATCACTTAATGCAAGAGCCTGAGTGCCATCTGAGCCTTAAATTTTATAAAACGTTAGCTGTTGTTAGTTACTAAAAGGACGTTCTCCCCATCTACCCAATTAAAGAAAGGGAAGGAAAAAGCCCAAACCACTCACAAGCTGGTAAGGGCAGAGGTGTGGGTAGCCGGCAGAAGGGAACCGACCAGAACAACTTCACTCTCTGGGAACAATTAAAAAACGAGAGTTTGGCTTGATACAAGGATCACCAGGAAGTAGGAAAACCAGAAAACTGAAGCAGGGTCCTCTTTTATTATGTGCTTTTTTTTCTTCCTTTTTAAAAAAATGGAAGTGGTCTGTCACCACACACACATGAAAATGAGTCCCATGTGCAACAGTGACTAGGAAGGTGAAAGAAACTAAAAGCCAGTTGCTGGAATTTGCTCCAGAGCGGCCGGTGTGCACCATCAAGGAGGAGGCGCTGGCACCTGCCTGAAGGCTTGTCTCTGCTGAGGACACGTCCAACTCAAGTTTAATACAAGAGCCACCATCCTTTCCATTTTATGGAAAAACTAAGTTCAGACGTACCACCCATCACGTAAAACTTTCACTATATATACCTGCAGTGGTTGCTAAGCCGGGTCCCACTCAGAGGACAGCACTGGGAACAACAAGATCAGAGCGAGAGACACGCAGGCTGACCCCCCAGAACCACCTCTACCAGGGGCTGCAAGGTGAGTGTGCAATGAGGCCCAGTCACCAGTAACTTCCGAAGTGTGGCCACAAACCTCAAAATCAGACTTCCTTAGAAACCCCTGGTTTGAGTTTAGTTTTTAAACAGACAGACCCAAAATTACACATGTTAAAAAAGGTAGCAAGTTCTATCACATCTGATAAAAGCAAGGGAGAGCACAGACAATCATATTTTAACAAGAAGGTAATTATTTCAGGGACAGCAGGCAATCGGTTCCCCGGAGAACAAGCTCCATTTTTAAAAAAATCAACACGGCACCTAAGACAGATTCTGAGCACACATTTTAACAAATGACATCAAACAATCTGATCTTTCAAAGGGATTTCAAATACCTTGCCGCTTTCCTAAGTTATCTAACAAAAACCCAACAACGACGAAAAAGTATGATTTTCACCAGCCCTTAGGAAACTTGGCGATGTCAGACATAAAGATGAAAGAAGGTGCTGAAGTCTATAAAGGTTGCATTACGAAAACTACTTGCAAAAGTCAAGCCCTCCCTGGAACCACATGACTAGCTCCTGGGGGGTCCCCGCCTCACCGGGAGCCCGGGCTTCTCCGCTCCGCGTCCAGGACGAAGGAGAACGGCCCGGGAAGGG